CAATTTTTTAAAATGTAAGGAGTAGAAGTAAAAAGTCGCCATAAAAATAAGTAGTAAAGTAAAGTAAAATTATCAGAAAAATCTACTTGAGTACAGTAACGAAGTATTTGTACTTCGTTACTTCCCATCTCTGAGCGACACAGATTTACTTCCATATATTTCTTTTCTATCTGCCGGACGTTAGCAGCAACATTTCCATCTGGCTTAAAGCAAATGATCTTTAAAACACAATTTGAAAAGACTTTCATTTTTTATAACTTGGACTGCTGGAGACAGGCCCAAAATGAGGAGCATGGATGGATGAACAACTCCTTTATCTTATTTTCAGCTGCATAAAATCCAATTCTTTTAATTAAAGAGCAAACGTATGCATTTCAGTGACAGATCCTGTTATTTTACCTACATTTCTCTGATTTAGTGAACCAAAAAAAGAAAACTAGGCAACATCAGTCAAGCTTTTAAGCAGTGATGTCAACCTGAAGAAGCAAAAGGAGCTCAGGAGTAAATTTCCGCATTCCATCAGGAGAGATAAGTTAAATGTTTGCTAATGCTAACCAAAGGTCAGCCGGTAAGCTAACATGACAGAGGCGTGTTGCTGTAGGTTTGTTGGGTTCTTTGCCGTCTGTGAAATGACTCCGATGTGTTTTTAATTTGCAGTCAACACCAAAGAAACCGCTGCTTATTTATAGAGTTGTTCCGATTCCGATAATATCTCTGATAGTGCTGGAAACGCTAGTATCCGTACCTGCGCACCAATCTGATACCATTTGATTTAAAAATAGGAATCATTAGAGTTTTTCCTCCCCACTGTCGCTACAAGCATGCTTAATGTGAGGGATTGCATTTGAGTCAATGAATCGATGCAATCAACTGGTTTTCCTTAGATAGAAAACTTTGAATCAATCTGCATGTGCCTTGGGATGACGTGTTTTGAATTGGCGCTATATAAATAAAACTGAATTAAATTAAATGTAAAAATGTAACTTTTCTTTGGTCTAATTTGGCAGCATTAAGCAGGAAAATGTCAGGTGAAATAGCTACGACCATTAGTACAAGAAATCGGTTCCATCTTTCAGTATTTGTGTCTAATTCTCATGTAAAACTGGTCTCCTTTAGCCTACTTCATGTTGGTAGAAAGGTGCTAGTCAAGTGTATTATGAACAGACGTTTATATGGGAAAACATTAACAGAAGAAATCTGCGAAGACGGTGAATAGTTTTTCGTTGCGTTTCATAATTATTCTGCCTGTAAGGAAGATAACAGACCCCGTTTCCTGTGGGTGTGAACAGTTTTCACCCTCACAATATGAAATGCATCACAAGCCACACAGACTTAGTCACTTCTGACTTCTATTCATAGACCATTCAATATGAAAGTGCAAGCGAAAAAACTGTGCACCAGTGTAGTGATCTGGACAGCAAAGGCACCTTTTTGCACTTTGTCACAGAGAAGGAAGATCTCGTCCCCCCCTTTGCAGCTCCCAGAGTTTCGGTTCACCCTGCAGATCTTTAACTCGGCCGTGTTCGGGGCTCCTGGAAGACACAAAGAAAAATACATTTTAGAAAAAAGAATATAAACATTTTAAGTGACCGCTTAAGAGTTGAAAACGATCAGAGTTCCATGTATGGAAATATAGGGTTAAAAAAAAGGGATGTGGCTCATCTCAAGATCAATTCTTGTAAGTACCTTGGGGTTGATGAGAAAAGTTAGCAAAAGAAGAGGAACAAAGAGTATCTGAGGCTGCAGACGGCTACACGTTTATCAACTGGCCAGTCCCTTCAGCTCTTCTTCTGTTGTACCGTATTTTCAGTCTATAGAGATCACCATCGGTACATTTATCCTGCAAGCGGCTCATCTGTATTCAAAGAACCAAACCATCCTGCTCGGCGAGGCCTCTGTGGCCCGTTCTGTCCTGTCAGCACATGATGCATTTAATAGAGCAAGAAAAAGCAGCATGTAGCAAGTTTAACCTGAATCTGATAAAGGAAGAACATTGCAAAGGTTTGCCATAAATTCCCTCGACACAGACCGAGGTTAACGGTTTATCTCTGACAGATGCTCCCAATAGATAAAGCCATGACAAAACAAATTGAGTTTTCTGTGCTAAAATAGTAAATAAATCCAACAAAGTCTTAACTGGTCTTGCACATGAAGGTTTGTCTTTAGTAAATGAGTAACAGTTCTGTCAGTCATTTTTCTCTTAAAAAAGCTGCATTGAGGTCTAAGGCTTCCATACATGAGTCAAGTTCTCAACCTCTACACCAGCACTGCGCTCATGTATCCATTTCTAACGCTTTTTTAGCCTTCCTGCATGGAGTGCTCATTAATTACCGTAAATTCCGGACTATAGAGCGCACCTGATTACAAGCCGCACGCTCTAATTTTAGAAAGGAAATCGATTTTGTGCTTCTATAAGCAGCACCGGATTTTAAGCCGCAGGTTTCCCACGTTGTATGAGATATTTACAAATAAAGATATTACACGTGAGCATTTTTTTAACGTTTGATTTAATCCATATGATAAAACAAACAAATATGGTACATATTATGAATGCTTTTTTTTTTTTTTTTTCAAACGACCTGTAATTTAAATATACGCATGTGTCGGTAACACGCAAATAACACTGCATATACCCGTACTTTTAATTGAACAACGCACAGAACACTGCAGCCGACCAGGAAAAGTCATTTATCACTTTCTTCTTCCTCCTCTTCTTCCTTGTCGCTCTCACTTGAGCACTCGCGGTCCTCTTCATGCCGCAGCAGCCCAGCCTTCCGAAACCCGCCGGTGATGCTGGATGTTTTCACACGGCTCCACGCATTGAGAACCCACTGGCCTCTGTGAATACTCTTAAATTTTATTGGTCTGTTTTTCGCGCCATGAAAAAAAAACATGCATTAGCCGCACTGTGATATAGGCCGCAGTGTTCAAACAGCGGGAAAAAAGTAGCGGCTTATAGTCCGGAATTTACGGTACTTAGATTAAAGGGGAG